AATGAAAAACCCTAGCCTTAGCGTTGCATTTCCCTCACCACGATTTACTTTTCCTCACTATTTAGAATCTGATTGCAACAAAGAGAGAAACAGAACTAGAGGTAGAAAGAAGTTTGTATTAATAGTTAGGTCAAACTATGCAAACTTCCTTTAAAACCGAATCATTAGGACCGAGTTCTACCTTCACTATACTTTTTGGATCTCTCTCTTTCCAGTCACAGTACTAATAATTTGTTTCCTCTTTTTTTTTCTCACCCAATTGCCATTAATTTGTTTTTGTTATTTGATGTGGCCTCTGTCCCTTCCTCCTTACTCTGTTCATCTTTGTTCTCTCAATTCTTGAATTTTCACTCTTCTACATGGGCCATCATTTTTTTTGTTGTTCTTGCTTCTTCCTCCTCTTTTTCTTCACTCTTATTCACATTTCTGGTTCTTTTAACACTCGAAGCCTTCACTCTCATTCTTCTTTCAAAGTGTGAGGTCACTTTCTCAGGTAGCTTCTTTTGCGTCATTCATATACTTCAAACTCTGCAACAGACCAACAAACATCATTGGCAAAGTGGTTAGATCCATTGCATGGTCAAAACAAAACTTCTTTGCACAAAGTACAAAATAGGGGTTAATTTGTTTTTCCTTTTCTTCTCCCTCTTTTTCTTTTATGTTAGTCACTCAATAGTGATTTCACCATTTTACTATTTACTCTTATTTCTTTATTGACAGCCTCACAAACTATCTTTTCGATTCCCACTATTGGTCTTCACACGCTTACTTTGAGAACATGATCTTAAAGGGCCAGTAATCCATCCATCCTTTGTGATGAAATAACCTATTGAGGTAATCCACACTTTCCTCCTTCGCGACCCTTCCTGACTTATTGTTCAAATTCCTAGACATGGTTCAGGATATCGACCTCCTCACCTTAGGAGTTGAATTCTAGTCGAATGTCAGTACTAGACGAAGCTCTTATTGTATTAGAGCGTGGCGGCTTTAATCTCCTTCCAAAACCTATCTCTAATTCTTTGGAGAAACCGTTGTAGCTTTCCTAAATGTTCTTGATGACTCTGATTCACAAGCTTTTAATTGGGAATCGTCTATTGACTTTCCAATTACCATCCTTCAAACGTTGCATGTACTCATGTAATACTCAAAAGAAGAGAAAACACAAAAAATTTGGGTTATGAGTAAAATATCCTCCGTGTACCTCTGATCACAATTGCAAGCCTCCAATGAACTTCAGATATCTTGGCCACCAATTCAACCTCAAAAGACATTTTAGAAAAACAAGGAATAAATAACTAAACATAGCAGAAGAACAAACTAATACACGAGAAATGGAAGTTAACAGATATAAGTAATGCACTACTGTATATGCAAACTTAGAGTGTAGTAAAAAAGCAAACACACCCTAATAATGATAATAGAAGCAAAAAGAGAATTCACAAAAAATTAAAGAAACTAGAATTTAAAAGACAATTTCAGGAATACATCTTATAATTACTTACTTACAAAGCAAACCAAATACTGGAACCTAATTAATCTCTACCCAAAAAGAAGAAGCAAGCAAAGAAAAATCCAAAAGAAAAAAAAAAAAATTTAATTATGTCAGAACCGACGCACGGGCGTGCTGGATGGAAGCAACGGCGATGCGTTTAATGCTTAGCCATAAACTGAAGTCAGCCCCTAACCAAAGCGGACAATTCCTCTGGTGATTAGAGTCGGGGCGTGACATAAACCCTTTTTCAATGCAACCCAATTTAGGTAGGATTCTTAGATTTGACAAGGATTGTAGTAGATTTGCTTAATCTCAAAATATATGGTCAACTAATTCTTGTTATCTTATCCACAAATTAGTTAAGATTAGATTTTATCACAAGATTATAGTGGATAAACCCAATCCCATAATATAAGGTCAAATCTCTAAAGATTAGGAACTAATCCCACAAAATATGGTCAAATCCCACAAAATAAGGTAGAATCCCTAAGAATTAGGAACAAATAATTCCTCAAAACATATGGTCAATCCTAGGATTCTTAGAATAAATCTAAATCCCACAAAATAAGGTAAAATCCCTAAAATTTAGGAACAAATCCCACAAATTATGGTCAAATCCCTAAGGATTAGGAACAAATCCCTTAAATTAAGGTCAAATCCCTAAGAATTAGGAACAAATCCCACCAATTATGGTCAAATCCCTAAGAATTAGGAATAAAATCCACACAACTCAAGCAATATTAATGGTAGACGAAAATTTTTATACTCTTTTTTTTTTCTTTTTTTTTTTAATCAACAAGATCTAAGATCAAAACTTCCAGACTTGAACAAGAACGAAATTAATAAATTTAATGAAATAATCAAACAAGAAAACAAACACAAAAGAAATAAGATGAAGAAGAAAACAAACACAAAAAACAAGAAGAATAAGAAAACAAATAAACACAAACCCTAGAACTAAGATAAATAAGAATTTACCTTAAGCTTTGGCTCTGATACCAAACTGACGCGGAATTAATTCCAAAGAAACCTCTATGACAAGATTTGGAAGAGATCAAAAGATCAACGAAACTCCTCCTCTATGTGCACCCAAGCTTAAAGAAGCAAAGAACACCAATAATGAGTAAGAATAAGATAAAACGGCCACAAAAGACTGTTATAAGTTTAACCTATGATTCTTTGTTGCATTAAAGAATGCAATCATCACATCTCTCCTTAAAGCAAAGGAAACACGTCTAAGCACTGAAGTGAAGTAACTTCTATTTCATCTTATCTTGAATTGAATAATGTTTGTCTTTAATTACAAAAATCCAAGCTATTTATTACTAAATCTAAGAGTCCAGATCCTTAAAAAGGATTATAGAGTTAGCTAAATATCTAGGATTTAGCATCTAAACCAACTAAGGATATGCAACCTAACAAAAAATCAAAACAACTAAGGATTTGATATTAATGCCAAATCTACTAAAGATTGACCAGAAAATCTAAACAATCTAGGCATAAGGAATATTGTCAATCCAAAACCAACTAAGATAGGAATAAATTAATCCAAACCAACTAAGGATAAGACTAACTAATCCATAACAACTAAGGATAAAAGAATAATTAATCCAGAACCACTAAGGATAAGAATAACTTAATCAAACTAACTAAGGAATAAAAATAAAAGGGTGGCACAAACCAAGCAATTACACAACACTGAAAAACTAAAACAAAAATGGGCTAACTTATTACGCCAAATAAATTAGGCTTATAGTATGCCAGGGCATGCCATATGCTGGAAATTCAGATTCCCATCAACATGTGATTCCATCTCAACATGTGGTTCCATTAATATGAGAAGCTTAGGTGTTCTCCATGCTTCCTTGAGATCTATGGTTGAGTGGTAGCGATTCCGTATCAGCATGAATGCATCATCAACAGGAACATTTGGTGATAACAGTGATTAATGTAAATGAGTTATTTCATTTTTTTCTTAAATAAATGTAAGCGAATTTTGTGGACTATGATTCCTCTATATTCTATTAAGAGGACGTGTAGTCAATATAATTTGAAAAGAAATATATAAATTAAGTACAAGTTCATTTTTTTACATGATTTTTTTACATGTCTCTCAATTTAAATTTTTAGAAATTAAATAGTAGTAAAGAATTTTAAATTTATGTTTTGTGTAGTTATAATATTTTAGTAAATTTTGAAACTATTAATTTACTCTTTTAGTCTTTTTTTAATTTACTATTATTATTTGCAAGTAATTTTCTTATTTAGCTAAAAAACTAAAAATTTTTAAAAAAAGTTATCTAAATTCGATTTCAAACCGGAATCCAACTAGAATCGGATGTTTTAAAACTGTCTCAAAGCGGTTCGGTTTCGATTTCACGTTTTTTTGAAATAGAAACCGACGATTTTAGAACTGAAACTGGCGATTTTGGAACTGTGGTCATGCCTACCATGTGCAAAACTTATATATATTAAATTACAGGAACCATGTAAAAATTTAAAATTAGAAAGGAAGAAAAAAAAAACCATAAGACAATAATTAATTATGATTTGATTAACTCATTATTAGAGCTCATTTGGAAAAATAAATTCCACAAAATTTTGTGTTTCATTTGGAAATTCAATATTGTGTTTGGAATAAAAAAATATATATTTAAATTCTACGAATTGAATTCTATGAAATTTGATATGTCTAACTCAAATATTACTAAAATTAATAGAATTTGTAAATGAATTCCATAAAATTGATTATTCAAATGTTTTGTTGACCATCCACTATAAACTCAACTATTTTTTACTTTCTTTTTTCCTTTTTATTTATTTTCTTTGGAAAATTCTAAATTATAACAGTTATTTTTTTAATCCAATAATGATGTTAGTTTACATTTTTATTTTTTTTTTTTGGAAAATTCTAAACTAGTAATGACGGTTTCTTTTTAAAGTCTAGTAATAAGGTTAGTTATTATTACTATGAAACTATAAAAATTGAGCATCAATAATTGTTTTCAAATGCAGTTGAAGACATTCTTAATATTTTTTTTTTAGTTTTCAAATTAATCACTTAAATCAATAAAATTTTTTACATCAATTAAAAATAATTATTATGATGAATAATAATGCTTATATATTTAATTAATTAGTGTATTTATTTAAATGAAATTTATTATTTATATTTTAATAAAAAATGATAAATTATTATATTATATATAATAAATATAATTGGTATTTATTATTTATTTCTATTAAATTATTATGTCAAGGGCGTTATAAGAAATAAAAATAAATAAATTTTCATTTAAGAATTTATTTCAAACATAATTAAATTTTTTATTTTAAATTGTAACATATCACAAATTTATTTACAAATGAATTTTACTTAAATTTATTTATTTAATAATGATTCATCTGTGTCAAAACGGTCTATGGGCTGTAAATAAGCTTTAGTGAAATATCTAATCCCATTAGCTTATCATATAATAGTTTTAACATCATAATTAAAAAAAAAAAAAATCTCGCAAAACGAGATTCTTCTATCTACTCACCAATACATCTGTACCCATTATGCGGAAGACAGATGCATATATGTCTCTGCCTTCCTGTTACTTCATCTCTACTCTATTTTGGTTCTTCTGCTCTTCGTGTACTTGGATTGAGCAGAAGAAAGTAACTTCAAGAGTTGAGTAGTGTTTGATCTCACTGGGATTTTGGTTAATATGGCGGATGAGTGCTGCTCTACACAACTGATTGACGGCGATGGCGTGTTTAATGTGGCGGGACTTGACAATTTCATTAGAACAACTAAGCTTTCCGATTGCGGCCTTTCCTATGCTGTGGTTGCAATCATGGGTCCTCAAAGTAGTGGTATGTCTATTCATATTGATTTCTTTTCTTTTCCTTGATTTTCGATTTGATTGGTTTACTGGGATTTGAATTGAATTGATTTTTGTTTAACTGGATTATATATATATTTTTTTGTATCAAGTTGAGTAGAAATCAGCTCTTCATTTAATGCTCCTCCTGATGATGGATTAAGTTCCGGTTTTGAGTTGTGATGGATTTGCTTTCGCTAAAAGTGGAAGTTGTTGAAAGTATATTGGTGGTGTAGATTGTATCAGCTGACTCTAGTTAGAAATGCATTATATCTTTTGCTAGGGAAAGAAAATATATGAATTTCCTGAGATTGTAATGTCGTCAATAGATTGAGTTTCATGCTGTTATGCTGTTTTATACAATTTGTCAATCTTTATGACGAGATGCTATTGCAGTTTTGTTGAATAACTTTTTGCAGTTGGAATAATTTTTTTTAAATTATTAAATAAATAATAGGCAAATATGAGTAATGAAAATGTAATTTTCTGCTCTTTAAAAGTTGTTCCCTCTTCCTTTATTGGTGGTTATGTCGATGTCCATAAAGTGGTACGGTTATGGCAATGAAAATGGTGATGGTGATACAAAAATGCAGTGGTAGTGGCAGGGAGGGTAACGGCAGAGGGCTGGTGGTGGCTGGCAGAGTGCTGTTAGTGGTCACAGTGATGTATTGTTATTGGAGGTATAAATATTTGACATGTTCTGTGAGCGTGACATGAACTCTATTGGGAATTAGAGTTTTGTTTCATATCATGATGGTGTCAACCTTCGACATTTTTCTCTTATCATATTCTTAATATATCTTATTATTGAAGTTTTCAAGCTTTTGGACATCAGATTCTTTATCTTTTCCTTTTATCTTTCAACATACATAAGCACAATTTCTAGATAAGTGTATATATATATACATGATTTAGCCCCATGCACATTGTTGAAGTCTATTTACATTTTACTTGTATGATTTTTTGTGCGTTCTTCCATGAACAGGTAAGAGCACCCTACTGAATCATCTTTTCTACACTAATTTTAGAGAGATGGATGCATATAGGGGAAGGTTTGTCACACAGTTTTTCAAGTTTCTAGTTTTGCAATGAAAAATCATTTTTGGTTTCTTGGTGATTTTTTATGACTCTCCTTTTCTTTTGCTTTCTCATTCACCATCAGATGAAACTCTAATTTTATTTCAGGAGTCAAACAACCAAGGGGATATGGATTGCAAGGTGTACTGGAATTGAGCCTTTCACAATTGCAATGGACTTGGAAGGAACTGACGGGAGGGAAAGGGGCGAGGTACTGACCTATTTATAATATACTGTGGAACTGTTTCTTGGTGGTGGCCCATCCAGTTTAATTTTTTTTTTTTTTTTTTTTTTTTTTTTTTTTTTGGCGGGGGGGGGGGGGGGTTTGGGTGTGTGGGAAAAGAGGAGAAGGCAGATAAAACTTTACAATTTTTTAATCTGTGTTTATAATGAACTGTAACTTAAAAGCAAACTTTTGATACTATCAGTGGAAATTAGGTGCGATATGTGATATTGAATGATTTCACAATGTGTATGGATGTGTTGCCCTTTGGGGTGAGTGAGTGAGATGTGTGTTGAGAGAGAGGAGATGAGAGGAGAGAGGAGAGGGGGGGGAGTTGGGAGGAGGGACTGAGAGGGTTAAACAGATGAGTTCTAAATCGTAATTCTCAGTTTTGAATATCTATTGATCTCAATTTCAAGGAAATTTCTCATACTAATTGATAACTTATATTGTTTTCAGGATGACACTGTATTTGAGAAACAAAAGTGCCCTCCCTTCGGCACTTGCAATTGCTGATATTGTACTCATAAACATGTGAGTTTTATTATTATTTCATTGGTAAAGCTTGCTTTATGTGTTTTTAATGTTGATTACTTACGGGCTAGTGTTAATTATATTTTTTTCCCGCCTTAGGCAATTTGTTTGGTCTTTCGTATTATTGCGTATTCTCATACATTAGTCTATGGACTAATATGTAAAATCAAACTGTGCACTAAACTCCTTTAGGATCTTTAATATTTTTCCACTTTTATGACATTGGTTTTGCTAACAAATGGGAATATAGGAGGGGGCCTAGTATTTAATAACTGTTGTATATGAAAAAAGATTCAAAATTCACTGGGCCATGGCTTATGTTTGTGAAAATTATTTGCATTTTTGAAAAGTTACTGTTTGTTTTAAAATGCATTTGCCATGGCTTTATTTTGGTTCTAATAGGATCAGATGGGAGCATACAACGATATTCGCCGTCAGATACTTTAGTAAAAATTCACACTGTTTTGATCAACCTTAACAATCAAAAGTGAAAATACCTAACTTATACATCTTTCATGAAACCAATATGTGAGGATACATGGAATTTGTTTTTGAAAGGCAGATGTCCCTTTGGTTCTTTTTTCAATATTTTGGTTTGTTTAAACTGGCGCGATGATGTTTCCATTGATGTGAGAATGTACCTCCAATATAAAAAACAGATGCCTCTGTTAAAATTGTTAACCTATTTTAATAAAATATTTGAAATTAGAAAGAATTGAAGCTTAAAGCGTTTGATTTAGGCATGGAAACACGTTGCACACCATACATGAACATGCAAAATTTTCTACTTCGTAAGCAGTTGAATTTTTCTACTAGATGGTTGGAAACTATGCATATGGTGGTGGCGCATGACATTGCAGGGAACAGGCTGCCAACAAACCTCTCTAAAAACAGTTTTTCAGTATCTAGCCATTTTTCCTTGTAACATACTATGGTTTATTTATGTAAATGCATTTCTGTAATGTACATAGGTTATGATTGCGTTTTTGTTTCAGCCCTCGCCAAAACAACATTACTATTTGTCATACGTGATAAAAACCAAGGTCTGGATTTTTCACTTATAAAATTTCTCTAAGATAATTCATATTCCGCTGTACGATGTGCTCCATTGAAATGTAATATTTTTCATTCATACTTTGGGACTATGCCTTTCTTATTATAGACAAACCGCTTTGAATACTTGGAACCTGTTCTGCGGGAGATATTCAGAAGGTTATAATTACATATTTCTGTATATGATTATGCTTCTTGGTGTCATTATCATTCTTTCAAACCCCCCAATTTCTGCAGACTATGGGATTCTGTTGCTAAACCTGAGGCTCAATAAGTAACTCCTTTCAGTGACTTTTTTAATGTATGAAGATATCCTTTCCCAGTACTCTCTTTGCTTGCTTTATCTCTTTTTTTGAACCATATTCCCTTATTTCCCTACCCCCACCCTGCTAAAGAAATAATGAGTTTCAATTTCACTGTTATCATACACTGAAGGTAGAGGTCATGCTTTGTCTAGCTATGAAGAAAAGGAGAACAGTTTAAAGAGCAGGTAATCCTGTATTAAATACTATCAAGCCTCTAAAACTCATATTTGTGCTTGCCATGGTTTTCAAATTCTGGACTGTTTAATCTTCCCTGTTAGTAAGTTCTGTTTGATGTGATCTTTACTCCATATGTTTTCCTAAACTCATTTAAGTTCAAAGTTGAAACATTAAGGATTAAAAAAAAAACCCTCTCTCACCAGTTCTGTTTGTGTTTCACAGATATAATCAGCACCTTTTGTCTAATATTTTTATCTTTGTACAGGTGCTGAACTGAGGGCAGCATTCTTCCACTCTATTTCACCAGGAGGATTGCTGGGATAGAAGAGGAGTTGCTCCCCTGCATCAGGATTTTCTTTTTACGTGCACAGCAAATATGGAAAATCATTAAAAGAGGAATTAAGGATCTCGATCTTCCTGCTCACAAGTTAATAAAAGCTTTTTTCTGTGTGAACGTAAAAGTTTTTGGTTTTCTTTTGTGAATATGTTCTCCATTTTGTTTACCAGTGTTGATGGTTGCCACTGTTCGGTGTTGAGGAGATTGCAATGAGAAGCTTAGTTCATTTGACCACTGATCGGTATTTCATATGCATTCTGTTCTCTCTCTCTCTCTTCTCTCCTTTTATTTTTTATTTTTTTTTATTTTTTTTTACAATTTCTTCTAGGAGTTGCTTTAAACTATTCTGAAATTTATTATTTGCCTTTAGGGTTGGTGGCATTGGTTGGAAAGAAGTTCAAGGCAGGTCCAGTTTTTGGGTTTGGGAAGAAGGTCAGCTCCATCTTGGAAACCTATCTTTCCAGAGTAAGTGAACATTTATTGGGCATCGATTCTAAGTGGTTTCTAAACCTACTTTCCAAGTGGTATACGTTGATATGTTCCTTCAATTTCACATCTTGCAAGATTTTTTAACTCTTGCCTTTCTGATATTTATCTTTGTAACTTAAGTCAATGCCCTGATTGTTTTCCAACTCTTACACCTATCCTTCAACTTGGATTTTGAATCTCTGTGGATTTCTAGAGTTTGTTTTGAATAGACCTATGACACGGAGGGCTGTCTATTTTGACCTTATGATTGGTGTGAGAAATGCAAGGCGAAACAGCTAGAAAACAAGCATTGGATGTAAGGCTACAGAATTTTCTGTTTCATCACCAGTAATTTGTTATTATTTGTTACAGAAGTCCTCATTACTATTTCCAAAACAAAAGCATTGTTAATAAGTGTGCATAAGGTATCTGTTTGAATACAGGCCAAGTTTTACAGTAGTTTGGGGTTTTCCGCGTGACACATGCTTTATTATGTGAACTTACTAAGTTTAAACGCGGGGTATTATTATATATTTCCAAGAAATTTTGAGGAATGGAAGAAGAAAAAGTGAACTCTTTAGATTGCTCGAATGGATTAATGCATTGTTTTTTTTTTTTTATTTTTTTGTATTTTTAAATATCTAACATAACATTGTTTTGATTGAGATATAGAAAAAATGGAACTTGGATCTCCTTACTATATATAGAGCGAATATTCTCCTGAGATTCTTATCCACTGTTAAAACCGTTTTTTAGCCTTCAGTTTTAGATAGTTGTTATTGCCATTTCCAAAAATGAGCTTGTAGTGTCAATAAAAGCTTACCTAAAAACCACCAAGATTTTGGTGGGAAAGCGTTCTTTTCTACCATAGCTTAAACAGTTAGGTTGAACTTGAAGATCGAGAAAAAAAAAATGTATAAATAAGTGTTGTCATGAAGGTAACTTTGCAGAAGAAGCATTGCTTTGTTACCACTTCTTTGTTGTTAAATACAAGCATTATTATAGTCAGCTAAATTTATTGCCATTATTGGTCTAAAAACTAAGTTCACTGATTGCAAAAGGAAAAGCTTCTCTGGCTGTGTGCCCTTCTCTTTCTCCCCTCTACGTTAATCCTTCATAGAAGAAAATCGATATATATGCAGCATTACAAGAGGTCTGTGGTTGTTAGTGATAAAGTGTTCCTTTACTTATTCATTCTTTCATTTCTTCTCCTTATGTGGATTGAGGTGGCACGACAGTGTACGGTGTAGGGTTGATTAGGAGCTGTTGCTTGATTGTTGAAGACCATAGATAACACTGGGCGAAATATAAAAACAGTAACTGGTGGGTGATATTATTTTCTCAAGGTTAGTTGGGGCAAAATTTGTTTTCTGCTGCTTCATTCTCTGCTACCAGGGCCATTGGATAATATCTTGTATTTCTGCTGCGAATAGACTGCTTGTTGCCTAACATATTAATTGGATCAGAAATTAGATAAAGGAGCACTTTAAGGGAAAAATTGTTCAAATTCTGGATAGATGTGGGGAATTATGGGAGGAGTGACACATATTAGCAAAATCACATTGCCATTTTGTGTTGCCTAAGACTTCACATCGGTATTCCGAACCTTTGATTTCTCCTTTAATTTAAATTTTCTGATTTCCCTGCTCTGACTAAAATAAACTTTCCCTTTTATCAGATTTATTTCCTTTGCAAGACGAGAGCAATGAAAACGTTTGATTGGAAGTTTAGCTGTTTTCCTTCTTGTTTCAAGTCTAAACCATTATCACAGTTACAATAATGTAATTTGATTACAGGAACTAAGATGTGATGTATTAATCCAAATCATCAAATGCATGGCAATCTGAGAAATCTTGTTTTAATCTGGATTATATTTTTTTTCCTTGTGTACAATTACTCTATTGGAACATGTTAAGATTAGTTGTAAATTAGAACTCTATAAGTTGTAAATAGAAACTCATTAGGAGTTTAGATTCCCTAATAGGTTTATAGTATCTTGTATGTGTATATATACGTGTCCCTATTGATGAATCAAATAGAAGAAAATTATTTTGTTCCGACATTAATCTACATTGGTATCAGAGCTTTGTGGCTCTTTTTACACTTGATTTTTCCCTTTTGCATAGAAAATCTTCCGCGTTCCCTCATAAATCCATTCAACCTGGATTCCCTGCGCGGGCGGTGGCCTAAGCTAGCTGTTGTGTGACTACGTTTTCTAGGGTCACTGTTTATGTCCTCACCGCCTATTCTTAGAAGCTGCTCAGCTGTCGACCGGTCTTCCCTCAAAATCCGGTCACCGGATTCCCTGCGCCATGGGCCTCACGCGCCAATAACAATATTCTGCTACAAAAAAAGTACCCCCCAAACGGCGCGCTTTTGGGCGCGGTCCGGCGATCGGGAAAATTGCTTTTCAGGTTTCGTTAGTCAGCAGCACCAAGTGTCTAATCTGGTCAAGGTGAGCGTACTCAGCAAGCCAGGTTACCTTTCGCTTCTTTTGCAATGAAAGACTCGGCACTACGCTGTCAGAGAAATTTAAAACCGAACCACAACAAACTACTATTACTTGAAACCCTAGCAATGAATAAAATCACAGAACATAAAATTGGAAAGAAACCAATTAAGAGAAAGAATCAAATTCAAAATTTATTGCGAAAGTGTGAAAAA